GCGGAAGCGCGAGGGGACGGGAACAGACACGGTGGTCACGCTCCTCTGGGGGCAAAGGAGCTGCGCCTTGGGGCGCTGGTCGCGCGGCTGTAGTCGGAGGTTGTGGGTCCTCCGGCAGCGGATGGATGATGAAGCGAGCGGGGAAACCACTGACGCCATTTTGTTCCCCCTTTCCTCAGAAGTGGGGAGACGCTGTGACACCAGATGCTGAGCTGGCAGCCCCGATGCTTGCTTTGAGCCCCAGGACGAGGGTCTTTCCCAACAGAGCCGCGGACAGGGAGCTGGCGCAGCGGCAGGCGGGAAGTCGGGAACAGGACGCGAAGGATCAGGCAGAGGAAGGGCTCGGCTTCATCACAGCCTGCTCTTTGCTTCTGACCACAGTTACGACTTTTCCCCTCCCTGGACGGACGCCGTCCAACGTCAGCGCAGTCCCAACCTTCACACTCGGTCCAGTGAAACATTAAAGCTTTTCTGTCCCAAAAAACCGCTGCACAAGTGGGAAAGCAGAGCTTCGCAGCCAGCTGCGCCGGGGGCAGGGGGGGCTGGAATTCCTCCCGCTGTCGTGCTTTGCCTTCTTTTTCCTGCAGGTGAACAAATCCCCGGTGCAAAATCAGAAAGCAAACAACGTGGGATCCGGGACGGGGGTAGGGATGGGAGCTTTGAGAACTCGCGCTCCCTCAGCCAGGCTTTTGCAACACTGCGCAGAGCTGGGTGTGCAATCTGAAGCGAGCACAGAGCTTGGGCAAGGGCTGCAAACACCCGTTGAGAAACGGGGAAGATTCGCAGATTTTTAAGGTGGGGAAAGACGGAATTGGAGAAGCACGCAGAATTGTCCTCATCGTAGGACCCAACGCTTGACATCTCCGTATCTCCCTTGCAAGGATGAGTTAACCTCTTGTATGTTCTAGCACTTCACCCATCTAATACTCAGGAAACTGAGGCACGGGGAGCAGAATCGCTTCACGTACGGCTTCTAAGTTTGGCCCTCTGCCACCCAGCTGCAGGTTTGCAACTGCCCTTGTTCGCAGAGGGGACCAAGCAGAAGCTGCTTATTAGTTTTTGAAAATCACGCTCGTGGTTGTCCTCAAACGGCAATCCCACTTCCTTACCGCACGGGCAGGGTGCACCTCTAGCTCTAGGGCTTGCGGGAAGGCCTGCTAGCTTCTCTAGCCTTTGGACAACAGCATCATTTCAAGAAAGGAGGGCCCTGAAGAGGCCACCTGGTCACCCCCCCCGTTCCAAAGAGGAATCTTAATCTTTTAGCTGTTTATGAAACTTGATTTTAAAGCCTCCGGTGAGAGCACCGATCACTGTCCGTGGGCAGTCCCTTCCGACATCAGTCCTTCTGCATTACCGAGTTGCTCCGAGTCTCAGTCGTGCAGTTAACTCCACTCACAGTTTGTCTCCCTTCCCAGTGCAGCTATCTGTTGAGCGTTTGAGGACTATTCCTCACGCCTCTCTCCAGCGTTCTCTAGACTAAACAAACCCCTTTCCTTCAATCTGTCCTTGCAGGTCATGTTTTTCCTACACCTCTGCTCATTCTCACTGCTCTCCCCTGGATCCCCTCCAGCTCCTCCCAGAACTGGACAGTATTCTAGCTGAGGCCTTACCAATATCTAGGAGAATTATTTCCTATGTCTGGCAAACAGCACTCCTGTTTATGCATTCCACAGGGGTGTTTGGGGTTTTTTGTTGTTGTTGTTGTTGCAACAATACGACTTTTTTGACTCATGTTATGCTTCGCTGCAGCCCCTAGACTTCCTTCTGAAAGCCCTTAGGAATTGCACCACACTAAGGATGAAGCTGCTCCCCCTGCTAGGACTGACGTGCTGAACTCTGGCTCTGAGTCCTGCTTCCAGACCAAGCGCCAGGCTTTTCTCTGGAATAGCCAGTAGCCAACGTCCTTTGACCCAGGGGAGGGGTGACAAGAAAACGAGCACTCCACAGACCTGCGAGCCTCTTTTCTGGTAACAAAAACCTTCTCCAGATATAAGCCCCCGGCCTGACACCCGGGTAGCAGAGGTAGGCGAGCATCCGTTCAGCTCACCCAGCAGCCCTGCCTCACCGGATCGGCCTGCAACACCGAGCGACAGCCGCCTGCGCGGCTGGAAGAGGCTCGGCAGTTACAGCGAGCGTCCCAGGAGCTGCGGAGTCAAGCGTTCGCTTTGCGGCCCAGCCCTGGGCAGGAACAGGGGAGAGCGCCAGCTTCTGAAGCAAGCCAGGCCCAGCACTCCGCGAGGGAACTCGGAACAGCTGGCAGCGACATACAGAGCGTAATGTTAGATCTGGCTCGGACTCGCCTCCTGAGACCAAAGACTGCGGGAGCTCGAGAGAACAGCAACGCCGTCTTCCAGCTGTGGGAACCAAAGCAGCAAACACACAAGGCTAGACATCAGGAAACAGCCCTCGCCTTGGGGTCCCCCGCACAAGGAGGGACAGACCGTATTATCTAATGAAACTACATTTCCATGGGAAAATGGAACAAACAAAGATGATTTTACGCAAGAACTTCCCTGATCTCAGTGTAGAGATACTCAGCTTCACAGCGGTTCTAATTTGTGCTGTTTCCTGTAATCCCTGAAAACAGGTAAACCAGAGCTCTCCTCTTCCCAGAAAGCCTTAAAGCTGACCGATACCCGCTGCCGCTATCAGTGCGGCAGTCCAAAAAGCCACTCCGATACCTGCGCTGTCCGTAGGGCACCACTCCAAAGACTTGCTCTGAAAGGATGACACTGTCTTGCTTCCTCGCCTTCCTGGTATTGTTTAGAAAAACATTCCTCCTACGTGGCAGCTGCTCCTTCCAGGTAGGGGAAGAGCCATCTCCTCTGCAGCTCTTGCTACTGAAATATCCTCCTAATGCACTTTTCCATGTTATCTCTAACTTTTTATGTTCCTCAAGAAGAATCTCACTCCTTCCCTGCAGGGGAATTTTTTTGTTACTTCCCCCCCCCATAAGTCTTAAATTGGAAGGCACATCATGTAAGCCAGACGAGGAGACCAGCAAGCCTCTAGAGCCGTGCAGAACCCTGTTAATTTAGTTGAACTAATTAGGAGATCTGTTGACACAGCGCTGCCGTGCCTTTATCCTGCAAATACTTGTGTTCTCTTTTTGAGTTTAACATATGCTGAACCCATAAACATGCAAGAAGCTTCATGTGCCGAGTGCTTCCACGATTAACACCGTGATGATGATTTTTAAAAACGCTTAAAAGTATTCGTTTGAGTCTTGTCAGGCAATCGCGGGATTGAACCTTGACTTCTTGGTTCCAGGAAAACGTTTCAGCAGATCGCAAGTAGCTTCTGTCACAGACGGGCTTCCCACACGTTATTCCCAAATCTCAACCACTCCCGGATTTAGCTTCCCCTCAGAAACGTCAGCTCTACAAATGGAAATAACGAGGTGCAGGGAAGTGAACTGACTTGTGATTTTTATAGCAAACAGCAGATTTCTGGTTTGCTTAACAGCAAGACGGTGCTCGACCCCTGCTGTGCTCACCGGAGTAATTCAGAGGGAGGGCTACCGCGATCCGAGTACTGACCTGACTCTGCTTTAGTTTCAGGGGCGCCCGTTTGACACAAGAGCCAACATGAACGTGGGAACGGCACACAGCGAGGTGAATCCCAACACCCGTGTCATGAACAGCCGGGGCATCTGGTTGTCCTACGTCCTTGGAATCGGCCTGCTGCACGTCGTACTCCTGAGCATCCCCTTCTTCAGCGTCCCTGTGGTTTGGACTCTTACCAACATCATTCACAACATGGTAAGGGAACAGCGTGGCTGGCTTGACTTCCTGGGGCACGGAGTGGTAATCTCTCGGCACCGGCTGTTCTTTTGAGAGCAATCTAGTAAGATTCTTTTTGAAACAATTCCTTTCTCTGTATTTCCAAAGATGCAGGGTAGGTTACTCAACCTCCACCCCTCAGACTGCACCTTTGCCTCTAGGTCATATATTTAAAGCCAGCCTAGGTACTGATGAGACAGCAAACATCTGGTGAGGCTGGCTCAGAGGGGACACTGAATTCATTTGCCTGCAGGGTAAGTCCCTTTGTCATGTCCCCCTTAACAGAGGAATAGCTGTGACAGGCCACAGAAACTGGCAGGACAGCTTTCACTTTGGTTGATACAATCTGAATTGGCCTCATTGGAGTTAAGAAAACAAGATTAAACCCCAAACTTTGTTCTGCTTAAAGTAAAAGATTAGTCCAGGAACAGATTCTCCCCTTCTAAGGATCAGGTACCCAAACGAACGGGTGTCAGAGTGCTGCGCTAGGGGTGCACAGGTAAGCAGAGCACACAGACGCGCATGCAGACAGACGCAGGGCACCTGGGCTCTCTGCTGCGTTTGCACAGCGCTGTCCTGTGCTGTGCCCTGACAAAGCTGCGGCCACGCAGTGACAACTTCCCTAGCGAGCAGGGGAAAACCATGCTCTGTTTAACTGCTCGCTTCCGTGCCTCCGCCATCCCACTGCGCAAGTCTTGGCATGCTTGGGTCCTAGAGCTGAGGAGCAGACCTCTCGGCAGCCGTTCACCCTCAGGCAAAGGGGACAAAATACTTCAGAGAGGCAGCAATCAATTTTGTATCCTTTATTTTAAATAACATCTCAGCCCAAGAATATTCCAGAGACAAAAACGACACCCTCATGCTCATGTTATTGACGTCTCTAGTGGGAAAAAAAACCCACAAGACGACTGACTAGAGCTGCTCGGGGCTCAGTTCACAAGCTGCCTGCTTTTCATCCAGCTCCTTCCCCTCCTCTGGCAGCTTAAACGATTAGGTCCTGGGAACAGAAAGGAGTTTAAAGGCCAGCAATGGCTATACTTAAAAACACATGCTGTAGCCAAGCACTTGCTGTTTATCTGTGACTTGTGTTCCACTTTGAGAGGTTAACTTGCAATCGGAGCAGTAACAGACCCTGACGGCCTACGGCTCTACCTGCACTTTTTGAGAAAGCATTCAGCATTGCTGTTGCACAGTAGAGCGAGTCCACGCTAATCTCCTGATCCCAGATCTCTGAGCGCTGTAATCTTGCAACCACCTTCTTGGCTCACGCCCAGGAGCTGAACAAGAGGCCTCACGTGTAACAGCCAAGCCTGAGCTAGCCCCGGCTAGCGGCCTTCCTCCCTAACTGTCGCTGCTTCGTTAGCCGCTGCGAGTTCCAGCAGCAACGATGCGTCCCTCTAGCGGAACAGGGCGCTGGTGCAAGCTCGCACAGCTGTGCTGTTCTTGCTGGGGCTGAACGTTTCTGGTGGCGTGGCGAGGGGCCCAGAGAACACTGCGTGCTTCACGCTGCGTTTGTATTTGCTACAGAGTATGTACATCTTCCTACATACCGTGAAAGGAACTCCTTTTGAGACTCCGGACCAGGGGAAGGCTCGGCTGCTCACGCACTGGGAGCAGATGGACTACGGCGTGCAGTTCACGGCATCGCGCAAGTTCCTGACCATCACGCCCATTGTCCTGTGAGTACTTTGGGGCGGCTGAGCTGCCTCACGCGCCTGTACCGATCAACGCTTCTGCTGCACGTGCTGTCCTGGGAAACAAAAACATGAAGGGCTGTAATTCAGTTTCCCTCTCTCTCTCCCCCCCTCCTTTCCAGGTATTTTCTAACCAGCTTTTACACAAAGTATGACCGGATACACTTCATAATCAACACCATCTCCCTTATGAGCGTCCTGATCCCCAAACTGCCTCAGTTTCACGGAGTCCGGATCTTTGGGATCAATAAGTACTGAACCGCGTGGCTGGAGCGAATTGAAGAGGAGGCAGGGGAGAGGGGGAAGTTCTTTCTCTCTAGTCCTGTTTCTTCACCCCCACGCACACTGGGATGTAATTTCACAGCGGCTGTTTAAATGCAGTATCCAATAGACATATACCGCATGCTGGATCCTCATGCCCAATAAATCTAAACAAGCTCCAGAGTAGAGTTTAGTGCGGAGCAGGATGCATGACGCTGGATTTCTTTTATTCCAGCATCATAAATAGATGCAGATACACTGAGACTTCAAGGTACAAAGACGACGAATTCTGGGGAGATTTTAATCTATCCCAGACACTGAATGACGAGAATAGGGATGAGGGGAAAAGCTTTTAGTGCTGGTACTATTGCTGTGGTAAATGCACTTTAAAAATATATTTTCCTTTCTGAAGCTAGGTGCTTTAAGCGATATGTGGGGGAAATTCAAAGGGATACAGCCAGACTTTCCCAATACTTGATTGTTTCAGGGTTTTAGTTCCATTTTTGGGTGGGGGAGCGGGAGGGGAAAGAGAACGACAGATTTTTATTTTGCAATCTTTTACGCCACTGAGAAAGGAAGTTCTTTTACTAAAAACAGTACGGGAAGGAATGACCTGCAATTTGACAAAGCTTTCAGTTTTCTACGGTACCATTCGTGTGGCTCAGGGAAAAGGTCAATAGATCCTAAATCATACTTGTTATTTTCAGCTTACACCAGAATCTGTCCGGGTAACTCTGCTCCCCACCCCAAACCGCTCATTTTTAAGCGCGCTCCGAGTGCTCAGGCAGTACAGCATTTGGATTAAGGGCTGGGGTGCAGCTCAGTTTAATGATCGACAACAAATGCCACTGAGCTAGTTGGTACACGGAGACTGCACGAGCATGGGAGAAGCTGAGGACTGACGGGTATAGGCCAAACGAGAGACGGAGGGCTGCTTGCTATAATCAGTTAGCGACTATAATTGGAATTTTTCTCCTCAGTCCAGCTCCTTGGTCTCTTAAGTCTGTGTACGTCTTACTGGGATTTGCCAGTGGACTTAACTCAGTATCTGACTCGAGGCAAGCGAGTGTTTGATTTCTGGCTTACCTGGAAGTCCGTCACTCGGCTCCACGCACAAGTGCTGTGGCAGCATCCCCTGAGCCCCCAGGTGATCGCTGGCAAGGGTGAGGGAGCTGCGGGAGAGCAATACTAACGAGCAGCACCAGCAGCAGACCGAACTGACCAACAGAAGGATGCAGTGGTCGCTGGAGATAATAGATTATTTAGTATAGGAACAAAATTGAGCCTTTTTCCCCATAAAGTTACCACCTAAATAAAGTAGATTTGCAGGTTTAGACTTCCTGGCTGAGATAGCTTTCTACTGTTCAAAGCAATCGGTTTTTCTTTTGGGTTGTGTGCCAGATGAAATGTGGTTTTTTCCTCATGCTTCCCCCGTAAACTCACGAAAGCCTGTATTTTTGTTGTCTTAGTGCTTACATTGTCTCACACTTTTGACAATGGTAAAAACATTTTAAATATGCTATTTTTGTTCCTGCATTAGCCAATTCTAGCTTTAGAGGTCGTAGTGGATATTGCTGAGTTCTGTTTGATGGTCTGAGCATAGGACATGGGTAGGGGAACTTCAGGTTTGCATATAAGATCTAGTACTACTCCATGCATGATTTTAGGCAAGCTGCTTCACTTCTCTATCTCAGCCTTACTATCGGAGTGCTGCAGAGAAGGGAAAAACATTTAGCGTACCTCAGGGGGCTGCTGGAATGCATAGAGAATCATTACCCCTAGTGTGTTTGAAAAGTGGAAATATTTTAAGTGACAAGGAAGTTTTCAAGAAGGTAGAAAGGGAAAAGAGTCCGGCTTGATACCCGCGCGCTGTTCTCCAGCGAGGGAGTTTGACAGATGTGCAATTTACTTGATGGGGGGGTTAAACCTTTTAACCACCATGACATAAGGACTGCTGCTTTAGTTAAGGTACTATATACCCTAAAGCTAATATACTCTTTAAGCTACTAGACAATGACTTCTGGGGAAAAAAAAAAAAACAACTGTTTTCAAAATAGAGTTTTTCATCAATCAGCTAAGTACCTTTGAAATGACTAAGAAATCAACAGTGTCGATGCCCGGAATCCTTACGGGAAGACCGCTGCCCTCAGAGCTGTAGAGGCCTGTCCGTAACAGGATGGCTAAGGCTGTATCCGTAACGCAGACTGTATGCTGCTTAACAGACCTGAATGTCTGCCCGCAGACACAACTTACACACCAATGGTAAATCTCCAGAGGAAAGAAAACTATTTACTTATTTTGGTAGAATAGGAGGGGAAAAACATCAACTTTTTTGCAACAGAAACAGTCGCTATATGCTTAAAAACATTACTCCTATGTAGACAGATATACTGATTATCTCTAAGTATTTGCACATTACACAAAGTCAAAGCAGTTTTGATATTTTTAGCATAAGTATAAATTGAAGGTAGGGGTCAGCTCTTCTCGATGAAGTACAGCACTTCACACAGTTTCCTTGAAGGCCTTGGCGTTATAGCAGCTGAGGGTTTGAACGTGTTATTTGTGCTGTTAACTGACACTATGGACACCCAATTCTGTTTTGTTAAATTAAAGATCAACTGTAAAACAGAATGGGACTATCAACTTCTCAAAAAGGCAGTTTTTAAAGCCTAAAGTCTAAAACTTCTTGTTAGGCAAAGCCTTAATTATAATAGTAAGCTTTTCTGATTTACCTTGTTCAGACAAGCGATTAAAATAGCCGTTACACAGGTGTGTTACATGGCAAATGACATTCTTTACAACACAGGGATCGCATTTTTGCCACGGAATAACTGAAGTTAACTTGGACTTACACAGTTAATCCAATCAAGGGAAACATAAATGAAAACTGGAGAAGTATGGAAAGAAGTGAGAGAATTGAAGAAAGATTTCACAACGTGGTGTGTTAAGTATCTACATAAGATTAGTAACTACTTGAACAATTATACGTCTGATAGTATCTTCCTTAAGATCCCATCTTAAGGGTAGGTATCAGAATTAATCAAAAATAGAGAAGAAACCGTAAGTTAATTGTAATTAAACCACAGTCGCTACTTGTTAGGTGTACCTGAGGCAGTTTTAAGTGAAAGGGGTTTGGGTACCGCTGGTCGAGCCACCCTCATACGCCAGTTGCGTGGCTCCTTCCTGTCGGTGTCACAGGAGCGAGCGGTACCCGACTTAAGCTTCCGCTTGGAAACCACCACTGCAGTGGTGTGGAAGTAACTGAGACAGTTCCGGGTGTCCTGGAACTCTGTACCGAAACCACTTCTGGTTTATTTGTGTGTGCTAAATTCATACAGGAGTGAGTTCAGCACTCAAAGGCTAATCTTGCACACAAACAAGTTAGAGAGCACAGTCAAAACATTAACACCCTCATGGAATAACTCATTTCGGAGAAGAGGGAGATCAGGACAGCGTGGGCAGGATGAGGGATTTTCAGGCATGTACTTGCAGCTAGCATAGCAGTGATCCAAGGGTGAAGCCTACCTTTTGCGTGGAGAACCAGAACGGGAGTGCAAAGACAGTCCATTCATTCTTTTAGACTGTAGAATTTTCTCCGAGTACCTGTGTGAAGGAGATAATAGATTGTTACTGATTTTAAACGGGATTTTGATCACATCACACTTGACAGATTTTCCTCTCAAACTTGTACTGGCTTCCTGTATAGTGACTAGGGCGAACGTCAGCTGGAGAGTTAAAGGTGGGCTCCGTCCTATGACCGAGAAACAATTGCTGGATAAGTAGGTACTTAAAATGCTTTTCTTTTTTGTTCTGCAATGAATGCCAAAGGAGAAAAGCTTTTGCAAACCACCACTTGAACTGGCAGAAGCCATCCCTCTGCCCCACCTTGTCCTGGGCAAAGCCTCTTCTAAGCCACTGCCAAGACCACGCGTGTATTCACAGAGTATGGCAGTCACTGCACCAGGAAAGTCAGAAAACAATCAAGTACTAACAGCCTGATGCTTCTGAATTAGGGATCCTGTCTCGTGATTCGTTTAACATAGCTAACAGGATGTCATACAGTCCAACCCTTTGCAGGAAAAGCCTTTTTTTAAAAAAAAAAAAAAGCCTGAGATCTAGGGCTACTTAATTCCCAAGTACTTTTTTTTTTTAGTCATTGTTTAATTTGGTGTTTGTTTTAATAGAAGCATGGTACTGGCCCTTGAAAAGGGGACAGCAGCTGGTTACCATTGTTAACACATTAGTATTTCTCTTTGTGACTTATGTTGCTTTAACATTGCCTATAATATCTTTTAAGCATGCAAGCGTTTGTGTATAGGTATCCTCCTTGGATCAGTTTAAGTGAGCTAAATTAGTTGGTTTTGTTTTTTTTAAATGGAACATTCTGACATTGTACAAAGTTTTAGGGTTGTTTTTTTTTCCAGTAGCCCTTCTTTTTGTTGTGTATACAGAAGTCTCACGTAGAGAACTTTCTAAAATAAAGTGTGAATATTTTTATTACTCCTTTGTACAGTATTCTAAGAGAAACTAATAAAGTATTCATGTAAAAACTTGTGTTTGACTCCTTGAATTTTTACGCGGACAGGTTTTGCTTTTAAACAAGCAAGGCAAATGAATACGATACGGCAATTCCAAGCCCACCAAGTCATGGATTGCAGTAAAGCAAAGAGCTTGCAGCCCACCACGTGGATCCCTTTGCAGGGTACCGCACCGGTGAGTCACACAAACCCTCTGCTATAACAACGAGCCACAAAGCATGAAACGTGTGCATCGCTGGTCAATAGAAGTTAATAAAAGTGCCTCCAGAAACATAATATTGTCCCCTTGTCTACGCCACACCTAATGCGTTAGCTCTCTCACGGGTTTAGTGAAGTCCTCCTAAACCAGAACACACTGTTCCTCATCCTAACAGCTCAGAAGTATAAATGAAAACCAGAACCACGCTAGAAATTAAATCTTACAGGAACGATACATCTGTAGAACAAGTTAAAGTTATCCACAGCCCCTGTAACAGACCATGACAGGTTGACTCGGGGCAATGACTGAAACTTTTTGGAGGAAGAATTATGCAAGCAACAGGCTTTTTGTGCCCTAATTTAGCAGATGCTTCCGGATCTCTGAACGGAAAGGCGGGGAGAGAGCAGTTCCCCAGCCCTGCTGCTTTAAAGAGGCCATATCACTTCAGCAGCACAGCGGACTGCTCTGCACACCGCCCACCGACGGTGCTTGAGAAGCCATTCGCTCCACAAACAGGCAAGTACATTTTTAAGAGCTTTCGGTATGGAAGAGGGGTGGAACAAACTGTCTGTTAAGTGTTCTTGTTTAGTTTTTATCTCTTTTTGAAGTCTCCCAAGGGAACGAGTCCTGTAGGTACTACTGAAACGATCCCACATTAAGCACACAAGACTATTTCCCCTCCCCAGCTCCATCGCGTACAACACCCCATCCTTTGTGACGTGACAGTCTTCCTACTTTCTGGAAGAATCAGACTAAGTCAGTCTCTTTTTTCAGATTCCTGTGGGACATTAGGGAGAGGGAAGATATCGCCCCCCGATGATGAGCATCCGCTCATCTGAACTGTAGACAGGGATCAGCATCTCTTCTCTAACAAGACTTGATAAAGTAGGGTGCAGAAGAGGGGAAAGACCTGCACGCTTTTCTTCTTCTCAAAAAGTACAGGAAGTTTTTTCATTTGTAGAGCAAAGTTTTCTTCATCACGTCTTGCTTCAGCTGGTGTATGTAAGAAGCAAAACTGAAACTTTGGAGTAAAAACAAGCTGCAACAGGAAACCAACAGTGATTTTGTTCCTGCCTCTCAAACACCCAGCTCTCCTCTGGGGGGATACAGGCAGAGAACCAGGGCATACCCAAGTAGCTGTGCTGGCATGATTTTTCTTGTATTTTGGGGGAGATACGCCATAGAACAAGCTCTCCTACTTCCTCCCTCAACCTAGTATTCACCTCTCAGCACTTTCACTTCCTTGCAGTAAGACTTCGACAAAATCATTTTGCTAACGCTCTATTTCGAAACAGTGCTAAACCATTCCTGTCTGCCAGGCAACAAGATGCACGGGGAAAACGCTGATGCAGTAAAAAACAGCAAGAATTGTTCAAGCTTTTTTTTTTTTTTTTAAACTTATGTCAGGGCAACGCATTAATTAAAGATTAAAGCATTTAGGACCATGTTAAGTCCTAGGTTAAGGAGCAACGTCTAGTTTAGTAACGAAAATTATTATGGTATGTGCTGGTATATGCAACAAAACGTCTTAATTGAAAGAACAGTAACAGACTCCAGTGCTGGAGATCAGTAATCTCAGAACCTGCTGGCTGTGTTCTCAGCCTGCACGATGGCGGGGAGTTCATCAGCAGAGGGGGCTGAGTCTGAACAAGCCTCATCAGCAAGCCACAGCTCGTACTCCTACCTCTCCAAACGCTTCCCTATACACAATCCTGTGAAAGCTGTGTCCTTGTACTAACATGGGCTTTTTTGGGTTATTACTGATTTTGAAAAGTTCTTAATAATTAAAGTAACATATTTTGTTACAACCTTCTGCTTGTATTTCAAGTAATTTTGCTTAACTTGTCTTGCCTTTTTCCTAAGGCACAAGTACGCTTCGCTTTGGTTCAAAAATTCACCCATCCGCAGCAGAATGTTTAAAAAAGTCACCCAATCCATAGTAAATCAAATGGATCCAAGAGGAGACCTGGTCCCAGTTTACAGCATCTTAGACCATGAACATTTCAGACCCCTCTGTCTAGTGAGAAGAAAAAGAAAAGCCTTATTCCGCCCATCTCCTGGCTACAAACAGACATGGTACAGACTCGACGACGTACTGCTGCCAGGAGAAGACGATAAAAGCGCAGGTAAAGCCCACGTTTATCAATCTTAAGTTCACAATTTCCACAGACGAAACATTTGGATCATTTGTGGCTGAACTCTACCACGTTCCATCTTTCTTGTGTGCGCAATAGTAGTAATATTGAGTCTGTGTACTCGTGCTTAAGCTAATGCATCAAATTATTTCAGATTCCCTCTTTCCCAACGGAGACGGCCAAGATTCAAGGCAATTTACAGTCAAAAAAAGCGTCAGTGACAGAGTTGATGGGAGTCTAAGCCTTTGCGTTGAGCCTATAAGCGTAGAGCTGAAAGGAGCTACCTCCTTGTCCAAAGGGTGGTCCATCAAGCTGGAGAAGAACCACATACCCGTACCAAAACTTGAGGCACTGAAAACAGAAAGGTAAGGCAGACACAAAGGGAGAATGAGCCCTCCGGTCATCCTCCTCTACCCCACGCCAGGTCACACAATGGTTTTTCAAAAGCCAAAAACCAAGATTAAGACCCGAGAGCATGCATTCTCCCTAACTACGCATACTTCTGGAGGACAGGAAAGAGAGGCGATAAAGATTCCTTACACAGCTTTGTAATGCTTGTAGATTTCTTTGTAGTTCAGAAAGTGGGAACACCTCAACGTGGAGTCAAGCCACCTTTTCCTCACGGTTTGTACCCGGCGAGGAGCATACAGATCAGGACAGATCACCTGTATGACCTGCCAGGCCACGGCCTCGCTGCCCCGGTCCCCCTCAGACATAAGAGGGGAACACGTTGAGGACAGCGAGAATTACAGCCCATTTTCTGCCACCTTTTTTCCCCCAGAAGCTCCCGACATTGTTATATTTACATGTACTCACGTAACGCGAGAAAGGACGCCAGCATAAGGCTTTTGGCTCCGGTAGACTACAGTACTTTTGTCATAACTCACAGAAAAACAGACACTTTTAGCCAGGATATTGCATCCTTTTTCTCCTTTAGAAAAATAAATGCGAATCACTCCTTCATTCAACAACTACAGAAAATAGACCAGAACTTATACATAGTTCACGAAACAATAGAAACCTCAGAGGAGGCCACCTTCGAGGAATCCACCACGGCGGAGGGGAGCTTCATGACCCAGCTTTACGCCAAGTTTCATGCGAAGGTTTGATTGCTCTTCGGCCTCGGCAGGCAGTCCTTCCCAAACATCCGCACGCCATCCAGGCCTAGTAACAGATGTTTTTCGTTGACCAGGGCACCAGAGAGAACAAACAAAGCATGACTATACCCAAGAGCTGCACGCTGGCGTTCAGGGCAATCCAGCTGGCCATTACAGACAGGTCATGGGGTAAGTAACTTTCAGAAACTACCAACTCCTCCATTCAGGAAACATTTTTCTGAAGTATCATTCAGCCTCATGGCCACCCTTAGCTCATTTGCAAGGACATGAACACGTGCAATATGAGTGACAGAAATCACCTGGGAAAAGGCCGTACACAGTATGTAAGTTAAAAGAGCTACTTGGGAAAGAGATGCATTTTCGGGGGGCGGGGTTGGTAAGGAAATGAAAGAGGGATACTGGAAGTCTCAGCTCTGGATTTCAGGAACTGCAGAGCTCCTGTTGAAAAACAGCACAGAGGGCAGAGGTTTGTTTTGCTTCCTTTTCCTACTCAGAAGGAAACAGCCGTGGAGAAAACAGGGCGGCTGAGCCTTCAGTGGGAAGCCTGGCGTAAAAGGCGCTTATGCTGGATAAGTAGAGAAAGAGAGGACCGAGATCCACAAAACCTGCTGCAGGATTTGAGACCCCACATTTGGCTTGCTTCCCCTATGCTCTGCGCTTCCCACGTCTGCATGGATCTTGCTGAGTAGTTGCTGTCATTTTAATTTACTTGTATTTTAACACCCATACGGGCCAACACAGACCCTAACACAAGGTACATGACAGTAGGGGATGAGGTCTAGGAATAACGCGTTTTAAATGAACAGACAGAAGACAGATGCGCTGGAGAAGAGTGCAAACACCAGCCTACGACTAGCACGTGAGATTTCAGACCCGGGACACCAATAGCTTCAGCCTTAAACCCAACCCTGGTAAAAACATATCTACCCAGCTTTCAGTATTTTTCTAAATCGGCAATGCCCTTTTTATCCTGTTGCAGGTCTTCAATATTTCCCAAAACAAAGCAGATCAGTGTTCGTATCTGACGGTAAGCAATGTATTTCACTACTTCCACTTGCGCTACTTTTACCCCCTTTCGGTAAGATGGAATCTCTCCGGTTAAACCCAAATCACCAAAAGCAGTGTGTTTACTGTAGAGTGCTGCCTATTACCTGAGACATGACAACAGTCCAACTCAAAATTGCGCATCGCTTTTGAAAATACTTATAGAAATGTTTCAAATTTTAAATTTAGGGGTGCCAGGGAACTTACTGTGGGGTTGCCTAGTTTACAAGTGACATATTTGGACTCTTTCTGGTTTTCAGGTTCCTCACAAGAAACATTAGGAGCACTGAGGGTAGAAGTTAAAGAGAATTGTCAAATTCTCTCCAGCCTGTCTTCTGACCTGTTTGTCATATTTTTAAAAGCCATCAAAGCTGTGATGAGAGACAGGAACCTCTTTCAAGAACTGACCCAGAAAGTAAGCAAAGTTCTTCTTACTGCCAGGATTTACAAATACAGAGACATCCATGATCACATCTCTCACCCCAGAAGTCACCTCTCCTGTGCCACAACTATCAATCCAAAAATCCTTCACTCAGCACATCTGTCTGGTCTTCGTCACCATACAGAGAAAGGAGGTGCTCAGGACAGAGTCAACTGCTGAAATATGTCCTGAATATAGCCTAGCAGATTTACCTGAAGGTATCAAACCATTTAAATTTCACATTCTGTCTTTAACGGGGGCCAGTGTGAATGCTAAAGCCTCAATTACAGCCTCATAAATAGCTTAGGGAGGAGAGACACATATTATACGACTGCTCGTATGCTTCTGTAGTTAGACTGCAAGGGACTATCAGCAGCCTCTTCTCTTAAATCACGACGTTTCTTTTTCTTATCCCCTTAGATGGAAGCAGTTCTTGATGAAACTGGTAGTTGTGAGCTGAAAACAGAAAGCCCAGACTTAAAAGACCTGTTGAGCAGCTTGCAGTATTCTTCAAGACAACTTCTCCTTAAGCTGGCAGGAGCAATCACCTACACTCTTGACGCGTTAGATGGTAAGGCTTTCTGGCCATCTTAATAGAGAAATCCAGTAGCACCAGAATATGTTAAGAGCGTTCCTACCGACAAGACTAGCAGAATATAGAAACCTTACAGAGCACGAGAGACTCGCAGAGGATTTACGTAAAATCGTTCCTTAGATTGTGGGAATGAAGGTGGTTTATGCTGAGAGCACAGACCAGTCCGTAGCAGCTGCTGTTCAGCAACAGTTGGGAGAGTCGCGGAGCAGCGACTGCCAGGAGCGTGACACCGAATTACCACTCGGTCCAGGAACAGCGTGCACAAAGGGATCCTTGAAAAGAGGGCTTGAAATCAGAATTAAAGTGTGGGTAAAGATGGCAAGATTACCTTACAGAAAGAGCAGTGCAAATTCCAGGGTTCCCTTCCCAAGGCTGCCACAAAACATGGTTTGAACCTCCCCTCAACCCCCTCGGTCTCTACACTCGACGTTACAGTCATCTGTGCAGAGTAACAGCTGTATTCGTCTCACAGGGAGGCTGCACTAAATAGTTTAAAACGTCTGAAGAACTTTTGACCAAACAGGCGTTCCCTGCAAGACAGTTGATGGTCACCCTTAGCATCTCGCCAGTTGTCTCCGAAACATTGGTGGTGGGTTTTTGCTACAAACCTGTTTTAATTCTGCAGAGCTAACGGAGGATCAGCTGCTGCTATTGCTAGAGTCTTTGGAAGAGAAGATTGTGTCCCAACAGCTTAAGCTGGTGAGAGAACATGCATCACATTTGGCTCAAAATGAAGGGGCGGGGGGTGTCTGTGTGTTATTTTAAGTAAAGCAACATTTAGATGATGATATAGGTAGCAGTATCACAACTTAAGGTCACACTGGGAAGAAGGGCAGGAATAATCGCTTCAAACTTGGCAGGGATCAAAATACTCACTTTGAGAGGAATTACCCCAGGACATGAGACCTAAAATTTCTAACAACTGTTTTGCTGATAATAAACATTAAATTGGACACAGCTGACTACCATTTTTCTTGAAATGGCAGTCAGAATTTTCTGGCTTCTTTGGCCTCAGATTTAAAAAAAAAAACCCCATGACACAAAAACCACACTACAGTTTTCATTTCTTGGACATAACTAATTCACAAGAAACTGGGAACTGAATACATGAGCATGACAGTCTTTCAGGGTGAAGAGTCCCATATATAAGTGTGGATTATTTAGTGCGCCTGTAAGACAGTAAAGCACTTCACAAGTCAAAGAGATCATTTACTTAACGACTTCCACAGATGGGAGTATTAAAATACTGATTTTGCTTTTTTTGTTGTTGCTGCGAAGGTTGAGAGCATCTTGGAACACGACATAGAACACGGGAAGGGGCATTTCAGCGTGGATGCCAGCTTGCTCTCCTTCTCACAAGAGAAGGAACAAAAATTAACCATTGCAATGGTCGAGATGAGTGGAGTGAAGCTCCAGAAAGACGGATCTGCTGTCTGTACGGAAAAAGCCTTCTCGGCCATAGCAGCCCTGTACGTGTCTCTGTACATTCTCGATCTTCTGAGTAGCTCGGATTAGGCTACACACGTCCTCCCGTTAGGGATGACTTAAAGGGAATCACTTGACAATGTATTTCAAAGTCTCTTACTGCAAGCCAGTTTCTCTCTCCAAACTGTACCCCTACACAGGTGAGGCATTCCTTATTCATGCTCGGTGCCGATTTGAAATGAGTCGGAAAAGCAGACTTAAGGCAAGAAAACTCCTTACGGAAACCAGAAGCCGGATACCAAAATCGATTTTTCTCTGCCCCCATATGAATGCAGAGTGCCAACTGAAAAATCCACTAGCCCAGATAATCACAAGCCTGTCAGCTGCGCTTCACGTGATCCTGGTTTTCCTAAAAGACGCTAGCACACGGCCACTCACGCAACCAGTAAGGCACAAAGGAATAAGTCAGCGATAATTCGCTCACCCTGGTCACACCTGCGGTTCACGTGCGACTCGGCAAGCTGCGGGATCTCACAGCAATTTAGTGATGGACGCCTGGTAAAACGGCACCTCCACCGCACCGTTACGCACCCCACCAGCAAGGAATAAGTTACAACATTTCAGAACAAGCGCTACAAATACTTTGATGACCGCTTTATAAATAGAGAGTAATTTCTTACTGAGTAACCGGACGTTCTTAAAGGCACTTTTTTAACCTGCAGGTATCTTCAGCCACCCAGCGGCGCTGCCTGCCCGGAGGCCCGGCTCCCCTGAGCCTCGAGGCCTGGGAGGGTCCCCTCAGGCTCCCGGGGGAAGGGGGTGCCCTCAGCGAGGGGCAGCGCTGCTTACCTGGGCGGTCACCG